CTTCCACCCCCTGCACCCCACTAGGTCCCCACCCACGACGACACGTAAAAGACCCCCCCCCCCCCCCCCCCCCCGCTAACTCAGAGGAAAGGCTGCACAACTGCAGAAAGAGGCGATCAAGGAATGAAAAATCATGCATATGCACCAGGGGCAGAGACGAGACTGAGGGTGTGTGTGAACTTCTCTGACATGTTCTGCCTCTCAATGTTACCCAGTTCACAAGCTCAGACTACAGTTTTACTGGATTTCCCGGGATTTCTCTCTTTTGGCACTATTTGTATTTGACCCCAACAGTACAGAGTGTGCACATGGATGAAAGCCACTCTTGTACCAAGGGCTGGTACAAATCCTATGTGCTACGTCATGGCTTATCCAGGGCTTAAGTATTATCTAGGGTTTGCCTTTGTTCTTTGTGTGCAAACGGATTTCACCCTGAGTGAAGTGGTTGACATTTGGAGTGAGTCACTGCGCACCATAAAGCAATTCTCTTCCTCAAACCTTTTGTTCATGGTTGAGTCTATCACTAAACTAGCCACACACATATGGAACATGCCCTCCCTTCACTTTGTGTGACAGGGAAAAACAGCGCAAGAAAAGCCCTGTGTGTACGTGAGAAGTGCGATGTTCAAAGGCTCAGAATCTGCCCTGACTGCAACCCGTTTTTTTTTCCTCTGCAATACTCCAGAGCTCAGACTCCCTGAGAATCATCCGAGCCTGATTTCTGGTCTCTTGACAAAGCCATTTTGATGCAAAAGCGGGTCTAAAACAGGCCCCAATAGTTGTTTTTCTTTGAACAAGGGAAGTATGTCTTTTTTCCATTCTCCCAAGCAGCTGAACCAACTCTGTTCAGAGCTTTTCTGTATCCAGAAAAACAAACAAACAAAGCAACCATCTGAAATCAACTCCAGACCTTGACTTTAAGTCTGATAAATGAAAGTAATGCAAAAATATGTCATTGACAAGAGGAGGCTGGAATGGAAATGACCGACAGAGAAGTGTAAGTGCTAGGGAGGGCTGTCGCAAGTGCTCTGATTATACAAAGAAGAAAAAGAAGTGGTTAGATAAAGAAGGAAAACAATGAGGTGATTCTTACTTCATCAGAGGATGCCAGAGCTAGGGTGCTGAGTTCAAATGAAACCTGTGATAAAATCACAAGGGCTGAAAGCATTGATTCTTAGATTTACACTGCCCCATTTCTCTGTGCTGGTCTTCTAGACGTTTGGGGTGGGGAGAATGAGAGATTTGCCTTATCTTGTCCTGGAGGTGAGCGAAAGAAGGCAATGAGGAGAAAAGGTGCGGGGTAAAGGTGATTAAAGCCCAGGTTTGAGGACTTGTTTGTATGTATGCACACCCATACACACCCACGCTGTGCAGGGAAGAGTGAGAATGGAGGAAGGGAGATGACAAATGTGAAGAAAAATGATTCTATGCGAGTGCTATAGTGGAGGGACTGGATGGTGTTACCAGATGTGGCCCCGGTTGCTTCCCACTCCTCGCACTCAGCCAGACTGTGGATTCAGATACATAAGCTCTGCAAAATCCCTTGCTATCCATCTCTCTCTCTCATTGACACACAGTGGCCTCCTTGGCCTTCCACTGCCCTCTTTCTGAGCTCTGCCAGTTCATCTGGCTCTCTTTCTTCCTTTTTTTCTGGCCCCTAGTAAATGCCCTGACTCCCCACTCCCTCTCCTTATTCCCCATAGCCTTTTAACTCCCAACATGTCCCTCCCCACTTATCCCCACAGCTCTGCACACACAGCTAGAATTAAGTTGCCAGGATGTCTGTATAGGATGTGGAGGTGGACTGGGAACATGTCTGGGTGGTGAGACTCCGGAGATGTTTAGACAAACAGGCTCCTCTGTTTTCAAGTGGCCCATTGTTTGAGCAAACCTGTGCTAGTAAAAAAATGGCCAGCAGATGTCACTGTTCTCCCCGCTAAATCCCTCTTGCAGCCTGCTGGGGAAGGCCAGGAAAGGGGAAGTAAGCTTGGACTAATATCTCCAGCTGTTTTTAATGTGATTTTCTTGACTCATTTTCTCCCTTTTTCCTATCCTCTTTTCTTCACTTTTTTTTTTGTTTCTTTCTTCTCCTCTGTCCTCCTCCTTTTCCCATTTGCTCTGTTTTCTTCTGTCTTCTCTTTCTTGTTCTACCATCCTTTTTCTTTCTCTTCTTGTCAGTCTCTCCATTTTTTCCTCTTTTCCACTCTCTCTATTATTTTTTCAGGAACCAGAGAAGCCAGAAGTTTTAGAGTTCAATAGTCTTGTAGGAAAAATCCGAGATGTGCCCTTTGGACTCAGCACCAGCCCTGAGGTCCTGTCACATTATAACATCACAATCAACACCATCTCCATCTTCCGCAGGGTATGTCAGCCTTGTGGCTCTAGATTCCTTCTATTAGCACTGCTCAATGCACTGAAATAAGATTTTCTATCAGTAAGATCTAGAAGTTTTCTCCTTTTCTCCTTTCATAGAATGTATTCAGAGTGACATGGAGAAAGATCTAAGACAGACAAATGAGTCGTACAATACCTGATGATCTCTAATCATGAATGGCCTGAGGTGTCTATAGAAAGAAATGCCCTGATTCTAGGGCTCCTTGCTGTCCATGGTCACTAGCTTCTGCTGTTATATACAGGAGCCTCGTGGCTGGATGATCTTCCCGCTCAGAAATGCTCCATGCTCAGGCTGGGGACTGACTGGCTAAGCAGCAGCTCTGCAGAAAAGGACCTGGGGGTTACAGCGGACAATAAGCTGGATATGACCCAACCGTGTGCCCTTGTTGTGAAGAAGACTAACAACATTCTGGGCTGACTGCATTAGTAGGAGCATTGCCAGCAAAAGTGATTATTCCCCTTCAATCGGCAGTGGTGAGGCCACATCTGGAGTACTGTATTCAGTTTTGGAGTCCCCACTACAGAAAGGATGTGGACAAATTGGAGAGAGTCCAGTGGAGGGCAACAAAAATGGTGAGGGGACTGGGGAATATGATGTATGAGGAAAGGCTAAGGGAATTGGCCTTATTTAGTCTGGAGAAGAGACGACTGAGAGGGGAATTAATAGCAGCCTTCAGTTACCTCAAGGGGGGTTCCAAAGAGGATGGAGCTGGACTGTTCTCTGTGGTGGGAGATGACAGAACAAGGAGCAATGGTCTCAGGTTGGAGTAAAGGAAGTTTAGGTTAGATATTACGAAAAAACTTTCTCACTAGGAGGGTGGTGAAGCACTGTAACAGGTTATGCAGAGGTTGAAGAATCTCTGTCCTTGCAGGTTTTTAAGACCTGGCTAGACAAAGCTTTGGCTGGGATGATCTATTTGGGGATGGTCCTGCTTTGAGCCGGGAGCTGGACTAGATGACCTCCTGAGGTCCCTTTCAACCCTACTTTTCTCTGATTCTATGATAATATAGGAGTATAATAGGGAGCTTTCCCCTTGACCCCTATATAGGAGCATGGGAGTGGCATGGAAGAGGGGAAAAGGAGGAGGGAAGAAGCGTGGCTGGAGCATAGAGCACTTGGTGCTCTGAAGTGCTGCAGTGGCCTACAGACAGCTCTTGTGGAACACACAATAGAGAGGTTTCAGGGTTTGTTCCTTGGCAGGCCCCAGAACCCAGAGGGTGCAAGTTAATGTAAAGCCCCCTTTATTTCCTTTTTGTCCCCTAATTGTTTCCTGCATAGAGCTTTAGTAGAAATCTAGTTCACAGGCTAGGGGGAGATTTCAGTTCCTGCTTCAGTGAAGAGAATGATCCAGTTTTGCATGCAATCTAGAAACGGAGACTGCATTTACTGTCACTAAGTGCTGAGAATTGAAACAAAACTCACCTTGTCTATGCTTGCTGGGTTACAAAGATTTTCTTTCCAAGACTTTTAAGGATCTCTTGTTTTCCTCACCAGGAGAAATGGAGGATAGCTAAAGTGGAAGGCTGCTTTATCAAAAGAAAAGACATACAGAATTCAGATTATCCTCAATTGTCCCTATTTGCACTTCTGCTTTTGAGGTTGAAAAATCATTTCATAAAAAAACCAGAAAGAGATCAAATCCCTGATCCAGATTTAAAATGTGGTTGACAGTTCACTTGTGTGATTCCCTGGCTCCAATAAGTTTAAACAATTGAGACATTTTTTGCTGTAAGCTTGTATAGGAGGTGCGGGTCAGATCAAAAGAAAAGAAAAAAGAATTGGAACATAAACCACAAATGTGGAATACAGCATTCATCCAAGGAATGGGAAGACATGTTAGCACATCAAAATGATGGCAATCAAACAATGGTCCTTCAGTTTTGTATAGCCTGGCAACAACCTAAAATTTCAAAACTCTGTGCCTGTCAGAGAGATCAGGGTCTCAGCTGGTGGAACTTGATGCTGCTCCAGAGAAGTTAATGGAGTTTTGTTGGTTAATGCCAGATAACTGAACTGATAAATACAAAAAAAAGACATAATGAAGTGAATGTAACTGTATGAAGTGATAGAAACATCCTGTTTTAAGATAAACTATTATATACAGGCAGGGCTGTCCTTTGTGGAGGAGAGCAAATCGGGGTAACTGCCCTGGGCCCCACATTTTGGGGGGCCCTCCAGAGCCGGGCGGGTACCAGGTGGAGCGGCTGTGGCCCCTTGCAGTGTTAAAGGGGCCTGTCAGGATGATTTGCCCTTGGGCCCCTCACCCCCCTCTTGTCATCTCTGTATACAGGACCCGTTATCCCCCTCATAAGGTGTAATCTTTGTATCAGTCAAGAGTATGTTTGGGTTCTGATTTTCTAGAAATGGAAATCAATAGGTTGAAAAACAAACTGCACTGAAATAAATGGGTGTTTTTCCATTGTCTTTGATTGATGTTAGACCAGCTCCAAAGATCTGTCTGATATCATTTGCATTGGTTTGGCCTCAGGGGCTTGCTCTTGATTACAGTAGTGTAAGTGGGAGAAGAGTTGGACCTCATTACTTTACGAGTAGTACTGTCAGAAGGAGTGTAGCAACACACCAGATCAAAGACAGTTCTAGTGACCACAGAATGGAAAAGAAGGGGACTGCATGGCTCTGGAAAAGATAACATACATATGGACACATTTAAAACAATATGGGGTCTGCATGAAGACATCTCCTAGGTTCCATAAGATAAGCACATGTTTATAAACAAGGGATTAAGTCCAAGAGGAATCAACTGAACCATACTGAACTAAATATCAACATTGCAATGTCTCAATTCAGCTGACTCCTGTAATGTAACTATATATATACCTGGCATACTTTGGAGTTTGTCTATTCATTGTTTTCCTTCTCTCAATACCTGGTTGCTAGTAGAAGGACTAAAGTAAACCTTAATAAAATAGCTTCCAAAAGGTAATGGTGGTGAGAGTAAGTGGGTTGGGGAAAAAGGAGGTTTAGGGAAGGGAGGTAGAGGTTGAGGGAGGGCATTTTCTTCTAAAGTTGGAGTTTTCCAGGCTGATTTTTTTTCCTGCTGTACTGGAAAAAATCCTCTTTTTATTGGAGAGATTTCTTGCTTGCACAATGTTTCCAGGAAATCTACACAGGCCCATTCCAGCATTTATTAGTTTTAGATGGAATAAAATAAACAGATGGACTTTTCTAAAAGGATGAGAGAGATGTAGGGAATTAGATTTGTTTAATATTCTCTTTCCTGAATCCCTCTAAATGTTATCAGTTAATCTTCCCTGGCTCCAGAGCTGCCTGTGCTGAAGATACAGGGATGTTAAAATCCTGCTGGTTTCCTTTTACTTCATGAAGTTTGTGCTGTCTTGGCTGGGATGCTTAAGGAAGAGACTGAAGAAAAAGTGCAAGATGGGCAGGCCAGCTCCAAGGGAGAACTGTAGGCCTAATAGTCTCAGGCTCACACCTCAGGCTCACACCACTCACATCAGTACTTGCACCAAAGAATTTGTGCCCACCTGTGTCTCTGGGTAGAGGTAGGGAGGAGACTATTGTATTGAGGCCAATAATGACTGCAGGTGTCTTTTCATCACCACAGGTTGATGAGAATCGGCAAGACTTGGAAATCACAGATGGCAAAGAAATGGACGCCACCAGGTTGGGCCGCTTCATTCAGATCAATGAACTTCGTATGGTGACAGAGTACAACCCTGTGGTAATTAATGATCTGCATCACCCTCACCCAGCATCCTCTCTCCCTCTTCTTTTCTATCTGCCTTGCAGTTATTCAGATTTTGGGGGTTATAGTGTCATCTTTTTCTCCTTTCATATGGCTGATATGGAACAGCAACTATAATTTTACATTTAGATGGTTGAATCAGATAATTGCATCAGGAGCAGCAGAGTGTATTGCTGTGATACCTCCTTCATATCTGTGGATTGGGCATTGAGTCGCTATCTGTTCTATGGTCTGTTCAGGGTGACCACAGCCGCACACTGGATATTTTTTAGTTTTCCATTTATGTCCGTCTATAATGTCATCTATAGACTCTGGCAGAGTATGTCCATGTGGCACAATCCAGGGCCATGCAGAGATACCCGAGCTAATTCTGAAAGAACCAGTTTAGGAAGTGGCATAGCTGCATTAGTGCTAAATTGCACCAGGGTTAACACTGCTGCTCAGCATGGCTAATCAGCCTCAGCAGAGTGTCTGGTTAATATGGTTGCACTGCTCCTGGTACCCAAACTAGCTCATTCAGAGTTAGCTCAGGTACTTTTAGATAGCTCTGCATTGTGTTGTACAGATATACCCTTAGTAGGCACAGAGCAGAGGTCAGAAAGGAAATGCAAACGTGTCTCTATGTACACAGCTCTAGCACTAAATCTTATCCACAGTCAATAGTGCCTCCTTCTATCTCCAGGAACAAAGGGTTTGTCATATTGGTTTCAGACGTATGGGCATCCAAACCAGTTTTCTGTCTCCAGATGTGATTGGTGCCAGTTGCATCAGGGAAGATGCAAGAACCCCTGAAGAAAGCAGTTATGGAATAACTTGCCTATAGGAGATGTTTCTTTCTAACCTGTGTGGTTAAGCCTTGAAGCATGAAGGCTTGCAACTATAAAAGT